AAATGAATGAGAGATCATACATTCAGGATCATCGATTGCACCAGCTTACAATTGTTTCTTTTTCTTTGTTTTATCATCTGCATCAGCTGATACATCGGCACCATTATAAGCAGATGAACAGCTAAATCAAAAGCACGTATTACATGTCGAATGGTGTTTAATGTTGGTTGATTTTTCTAAATTTAAAATAAATAGAAATCAAAGAGTGCAATGAAAATCTTTTCCTTGAAGTTGATTAGCCCATTTTTCAATCATGTCAGTTGTAACTTGTTGTTGTTCTTCTTTACTTAATTGTTCACCATCTTCACCTTCCTACAAAATCAACTCATTAATTTTTTTTCTAAGACAGATATTGAATAATATACTTGATCAGATAAAGGTTCCATTTTAGCAAGTTGTTCAGGTGATTGATGAACTTGTTGTTCTGGATCATCATCCGGAATCGATTTATCATCTTCATTAACATCAAAATTAAGTAAATCAGTATCTTTTTTTTTAAATTTATAAAATTCAGAATCAACTGTTACTAAATAAGCTAAATCCTTTTTATGTTATTCAAATGCTGCAATTTCATTTTCTTTAGGTCTAAAAATCATAAATAGAAATTCTTTTATAAAAAATCTTTTTTTATCTACTTTTTATTCTTTATTGGTTTTGTTCTTCTAAGTTTGATCTGAAAGAGTATCTGATAATAACTATGGATCAATACTGTTTATCTAAGAAGTTTGTTTTTCTTTCAAAATTTAAATAAATGTTCATCAAAAAAAGAAAAGAAAAAATTTTTCATTAATTTAACCTATGCACACATGAACTATACGTAAAAGAAAAAAACATCAGTGATTAATGATGGAAAATTGTTGAAATGGTTGAGAAATTAATACCTTAACAATAAGCAATATGAGTAAGAAAATTTTACGTTGAATAAATCCTTAAGCGGCCCCTCAAAAACATAACTTCGACAGGGTACATGGAATATTGATGAAACTTTGTATAGATGTTGGGCACATGGAAGCACATTACCAAAAATTTTCACGCCTCCATAGCTTACCGTTCAGGAGATATCAGGGTATCAAGCTGCAAAACAGGGCTCTCACGCGGACAAAGTTTTCATCACTATGGTTCACGCTACAGAGCTCGGGTTGGTTTTATTTGAAAGATAAATCCTTGCAGCTTTGGATGAGGGAAAGGATTTTTTTAAATTTTACTTTATTTCATTTTTTGGATCATCGAGATCTCAAAAATCTGGAAATCTAATGTATGGTTTTCTAGAAAACTGAGGGGTTTCCATAGCATTGAAGAGTAATTAAAAAATCCCTTTCCCTCATCTGAAGGACTATTCATATATCTATCAATTAAAAAAAATTGCAGCTCTCTCGAATAAAGTATATTGAAGAAAAAATTTGTCCGCAGTTCGATCATTACTAAAAAAAAAATCAATTTTGAGAAAAATGCAAAAGAAAGTTTTTTTTTCATAAAATCTTTCTATTATTACTTAAAACAGAGATGAAGCATAAATATATTACATGTGAATCGATGTACATCAGAGAGCCCTCATCCGACATACAACATGATAGATGACGCTATCTACTAATGTCGTTATAACTGTTATACCGTTGAAAAACGTAATAAAGACGGAAGAGTAAAAATTACTCTTTTTAGTCCAGGTAGCATCAAAAATTGTTTACAAAACTCCCCCAAACTATCGCAAATCAAAACTATTTTTATGAATTCGTATACGAGGCAACTTAGACAACATGCTCATATGTTTATCTCAAAAATCATTTTTTCGACGAAAATCGATTTTTCTGAGGGGGAGGGGGTCCTTAAGCAAATTTATAACTAAAATATTTTCTAACATCTGTGGATTGTGTATTCCAGTTAAAGATAATTTATTTTCGAGCAATACAACTCATGTTATATAAAGCTGCTGTTCGTTGTTTAGTTGTTTTCGAATTGATCGGATCATACAATAAATATTCGTATGATAGTTTGTCAGACAGTTCGTTGTTGTGAATGAATATAATGAATATTTATTTTTTCAAAATAAATTCTTCCTAAAGAAAAGTTAATTATCATTGAAAACTATCGATTTGCTACGGCGTTAGGAATGAGAAGTATTCATCATGTCCCTAGAGCCAGATGCGTAATTGATTAGAATAGATCCAACAAACATTCGTACGATCTGAGTCTCGAAGTTTATCAGTATTTCTTAACAACTTTTCGATATACCGTTGTTGAGTAAGTGTTGTTCGAAGATCTTGATAGCCATGGTTCAGATAGCCACTGCCTTTATTGAGAATCACTTCGGCGAGTTCATGAAAGTGTGTTACAATTGACAAAATCAATGTAGCAAGATTTTCATCAGGATATAGATGGAATCCGCTGGTCCATAAAGAAATGAGTCGTGGAAAACATTTTGCCAATATGGAAATATCGATTAATTTTGATAAGTCAAATTCACCTAAAAAACAAAAAAACATATTTCAGTGATCTACTTCAATAATAGATTAACTAATAAACATTGGTTCACATTATCGTCGTTAAAAAATCAAAGTCTTATGTTCTTTTGAACGATGCCACTAAGTTCGTATAGCAATCGATTCTTATAAATAGTGCTTTTATTTTCTACGTGCTATTTTCTATACTTGGTTATGATAATAAAATATTTTATTTACTATATCGATTGTAATGGCGCAAATGTAAATGACGCAGATTGAAAAGAGGTGAAGTAGCAAAGCGTCCGTTGCCGAAAGTCGAATTATTATGCATTACATAATTCCAATTGATGGTTAATTTAACTAGATTTGGTGCTCCTCGCAGAATAATGTCGAGAAAGTAATGGCATTGTGATGTCAAGAAGAATTTTTCCTTGTTTTCCCCTTCGAAGAAAGAAAGTGAATGCAAGTTATCCAGTCGAGGTTGATCAAAGTTTGATGGAAAGGTGATTAACTTTGCAAATGCCTAAAAGCAAAATAATAGATAAGTTGCAGTGTTTAATTCTAATGTGTAAGGAAATTGATGATAACTGTTGCTTTCTTTCATTTTGTGAGTCTTTTTTCACAGTAAACTTGTTGAAGTTTCTTCGATATGCTTAAGTTTTAGCAAACAAATCTTGCAGAGTAGAAAATGAAGGCTTGAAAGAAAAACAACACTCATATGTCTTCCTATCTAAAACACTACATTTTACGAGACATTGATGTACTGACGAAAAATCGAAGTTCGTCACCGTCATTCAATATGAGAGAATAATATCGAAGGTTGAAGCGTGGAGTGTAACATAGTTTTATCTCATCTTGATAAATTCAGTTATCAGCCATTATTTTTTTTTTGATTTCTTTCTATACAACTTAATCTAGATATAATTGCTTAAAAGCTTTCTTTTCACTTTATTTATAGATGACAATAGATCCTAACTATATGTAAAAGGATTTTTTTTTGTTTTGGTGATTAATTACACTTTGTGACGTAAATTTATTAAAATCTAATCGATATTAACACATAGAAATCTAAGTTGAATGGTCAAGAACGGTAATACTCCTCGGTCAAAGTTGGCCCGATAAGCATTGCTCAATATTTACATCACTGATGATTTTTCTGATAGACAATAAAACTTGCCCTTTTAAAGACTGAACGCTGGTCAAATAATATAAAATGAAGAAACAAAACTTTGCCTCAACTCCCAAGTAAATTACTCTAACAGTTGGCTCCGATCAAATTTTATTGGAATTCCTATAAGATCAACTAAATCCTATGGAAATCCGGATTGCGGAGCGACATCTCGATTCCTAGTGTTGGATATGATGGGATCAGTGGTGTCACATATCCCGAATTTTGGAAATGCATTATATCTCCAACGGGAGACGAGCTGGTCTCTTGAGCGAGATGCCATATCAGATGTGGGGCATGCAAATCTCTGAGGGTGAGAGTACATCTCCCTAGGAGACGACCACATCTCGTGAGGGAGATGAGGGACGTCTTCAAAAGTCGGGATATGTGACACAACTCGATCGGATCTTACTATCGGAATCTGATAGTAGCTCATCATACAACTATGACCGGTCTTTAGTATTGGGATAAAATGCTAATTAGCATTCAACTAAGAAAATAGATTTCGCCCGTCGGATCCGTAACCCGGACTCCCATAGCATTTTATCGGCTAGTCGTATCCGATTGGATTCCGTATCAGATTCATTCACATGGGCTCCTTCTTGCTGAAGATGAAGTAAAAAAATATAAGCGAAGTTGAAAAACTTAAACTGGTGTATTTTTCGACGTACACAATGCACTAAAGTACTAAGAAAATATTCTGATCTTCGCTTAATACGAGTTTTCAACGTACATTCTGTGATTCTGTTCCCATCCAACCATTTATTGCAAGCTTCTTGGTTGTTTTAAACTTTGCTAGACTATCAAAGATTTCTTGTGAATTGTCGATTTGATTACAAGTCCATAAAATTGATGATGTTTGTGATGCTTGCTTGAGTTTCATTTCGAAAGAGTGATTGTGTACAGTTCGACGATAAGGCAGTGATGAAAGGGTGAAAATAAGAAGAGAATATTTTTTTGTTGGTGCCATTAGCCTTGCGCGCCAGTACTTAACATAAGATAAACGATTTTCTTCGAGACAGTAATCAATGTTGGTAGTTTCGAATGGCCATTCGAAGTTGCGATCTCTTTTCCATTGGTACTCGAGTTCACCCGGAAAGCGAAAGAGAAATTGAAGAGCGGATGGACGAAGAGCAGGCATTCTTGTTCTTGATTGAAAGTATTGTTGAAATTGAGTAAGGTGATTGAGTGCTACATTAAAAGAAAAAACAAATAATTAAAGAATAGTTGTGTCAACGTTGGATGATAAGTCTCAGCAAGTTACAGTAGTTGCTAAAATTCAACGACGCATATTAGAATCTCCTACACACTGAAATGGACTATGACATATTCCAAATTGAACATATTTTCAACGAAAGTTCATTCAGATGTCTTCATCTCTTGTTTCATTTTTCACGCTATTCGATAAAACGATTATTGTTAAATACTTAAACGTTTCAAAATAGTTGTTTTTCTCGCGCATCAATTACCATTGAACTCATCATGCTAACAAGTTCTATTTTGATTGGGAGATGATGTCAGGGTTGCAACTTTAAGATTTATTTATTTACTTTTAAAAACAATTATATATGTACCTCGCTAATCTAGTGTTAATTGAGAAAAATCTTTTATTTCTTTTCTTTTTTCTATTAGTCATATATTGTTGATACTACTTTTTTCCTTTGTTCAATAATCTAAAAAAATATTCAAATTTAGATTTTCATTCTTTCCATAGACTATATGCGCATCAATCAATGAGAAATCCCAGTTACCATTTTTACATTTTTGTGTAAGAACATTTCTTATAGTTATGAAGTATTAATATACTTTATATGTTTGATTTTCTCTATTTGAAAAAAAA